TCGGGCCCCCGGGCGGGGCGACAGGCCTCGGGCCCCCAGGCGGGGCACAGGCCCGGGCCCCCAGGCGGGGCGGCAGGCATCGGGGCCCCCAGGCGGAGCGACAGGCATCGGGCCCCCAGGCGGAGCGGCGGGTGCATCGGACCCCCAGGGGGCGACAGGCATCGGGCCCCCAGGCGGGGCGACAGGCATCGGGCCCCCAGGCGGGGCGACAGGCATCGGGCCCCCAGGCGGGGGGCAGGCGCGGACCCCCAGGCGGAACTACAGGCCTCGGGCCCTCAGGCGGAGCGGCGGGCGCCGGGCCCCCGGGTGGAGCGACAGGTCTCGGGCCCTCCTCAGGCGGAGCGGCGGGCGCCGGACCCCCAGGTGGAGCGACAGGTCTCGACAGGCCCCCCCAGGCGGAGCGACAGGTCTCGGGCCCCCTCAGGCGGAGCGGCGGGCGGGCGCCGGACCCCCAGGTGGAGCGACAGGTCTCGGGCCCTCAGGCGGAGCGGCGGGCGCCGGACCCCCAGGTGGAGCGACAGGTCTCGGGCCCTCAGGCGGAGCGGCGGGCGCCGGACCCCCAGGTGGAGCGACAGGTCTCGGGCCCTCAGGCGGAGCGGGGGCGGAGCGCCGGACCCCCAGGTGGAGCGACAGGTCTCGGGCCCTCAGGCGGAGCGGCGGGCGCCGGACCCCCCCAGGCGGTGCGACAGGTCTCGGGCCCTCAGGCGGAGCGACAGGTCTCGGGCCCCCAGGCGGGGCGGCGGGCGCCGGACCCCCAGGTGGAGCGGCGGGCGCTGGACCCCCAGGCGGAGCGACAGGTCTCGGGCCCCCAGGCGGAGCAGCGGGCACCGAGTCACCAGGCACGACAGTGGGCTCCGAGTCAACTGGCATGACCGCTGGCACTAGGTCAGACATTGGATCGTCTGGCTGGACAGCGGGCATCGGGTCACCAGGCATCAGGTCATTTGGCTCGACAGCGGGCACCGTGTCATCTGGCAAGGCAGTGGGCTCCGAGTCAACTGGTATGACCGCGGGCACTGGGTCAGACATTGGATCGTCTGACTGGACAGCGGGGCATCGGGTCACCAGGCATCAGGTCATTTGGCTCGACCGCGGGCACCGCGTCATCTGGCAAGGCAGTGGGCTCCGAGTCAACTGGTATGACCGCGGGCACTGGGTCAGACATTGGATCGTCTGACTGGACAGCGGGCATCGGGTCACCAGGCATCAAGTCATTTGGCTTGACAGCGAGCACCGCGTCATCTGGCAAGGCAGTGGGTTCCGAGTCAACTGGCATGACCGCGGGCACTGGGGCAGACATTGAATCGTCTGGCTGGACAGCGGGCATCGGGTCACCAGGCATCAGGTCATTTGGCTCGACAGCGGGCACCGCGTCATCTGGCAAGGCAGTGGGCTCCGAGTCAACAGGCACGACAGTGGGCACCGGGTCATCAGGTACCGGATTGTCTGGCTCGACAGCAGGCATCGGGTCACCAGGTATGACAGCGGGCACTGGGTCACCAGGCATCAGGTCATTTGGCTTGCCAGCGGGCACCGCGTCATCTGGCAAGGCAGTGGGCACCGGGTCACCAGGCATTGGATCGTCTGGCTCGACAGCGGGCATCGGGTCACCAGGTATGACAGCGGGCACTGGGTCACCAGGCATCAGGTCATTTGGCTCCAGCGGGCACCGCGTCATCTGGCAAGGCAGTGGGCACCGAGTCACCAGGTACGACAGCGGGCTCTGAGTCAATTGGCACGACAGCGGGCACCGGATCAGGTACCGGATCATCTGGATCAACAGCGGGCATCGAGTCAACTGGCCTAATAGGATCGTCAGGCTGGATCAGTTCATCATGCTGGGTAGAGGCATCAGGCTGAATGCCGGCTCCGGCTGAGTAGGGCTTCAGGCCGAGTAGGCTTCAGGCCGAGGGCTTCAGGCCGAGTAGAGGCATCAGGCCGAGTAGAGGCCGCAGGGCCGAGTAGAGGCATCAGGCCGAGTAGAGGCATCAGGCCGAGTAGAGGCATCAGGCCGAGTAGAGGCATCAGGCCGAGTAGAGGCATCAGGCCGAGTAGAGGCATCAGGCCGAGTAGAGGCATCAGGCCGAGTAGAGAGCATCAGGCCGAGTAGAGGCAGTAGAGGCATCAGGCCGAGTAGAGGCATCAGGCCGAGTAGAGGCCGATCAGGGCCGAGTAGAGGCATCAGGCCGAGTAGATCAGGCCGAGTAGAGGCATCAGGCCGAGTAGAGGCATCAGGCTGAGAGGCATCAGGCAGTAGAGGCTGGCCGAGTAGGCATCAGGCCGAGTAGAGGCAGTAGAGCATCAGGCCGAGTAGAGGCAGGCCGAGTAGAGGCCGAGTAGAGGCCGAGTAGAGGCATCAGGGCCGAGTAGAGGCATCAGGCCGAGTAGAGGCATCAGGCCGAGTAGAGGCATTCATCAGGCTGAGGAGGCATCAGGCTGAGTAGGCAGAGGCTCAGCTCCCGAGTAGAGGCATCAGGCTGAGTAGAGGCATCAGGCTGAGAGTAGAGGCATCAGGCTGAGGGCTGCGAGGCAGGCATACAGGGCTGAGAGAGGCATCAGGCTGAGTACAGGCATCAGGCCGAGTAGAGGCAGAGGCATCAGGCTGAGTAGAGGCTTCAGGCTGAGTAGAGGCTTCAGGCTGAGTAGAGGCTTCAGGCTGGCTGAACCACGGAAGGCAGGCTCACCGGTTTGGATACTGGCAGGATGGTATTGGTTGGAAAGAATTTTCGCTTTTTTTTTTGGTTTTAACTACTGGAGCACTGCAAGTAAACGCAGGTCTGCAAACGAATGGAGCAGCTGGAGACAGAGAAGAACTGGAGGATGGAACAGGAGAGGGAGCAGCAGTTGCTACAGAGGGCTTTTTTACAGGGTTAAAGGCAGGATAGGTGCAGCGAGTGGGAACAGGGTACTGACATGCGGTAGATAGCCAAGTATACTGGGCTGTAACTGGAGGAGCTGTGGGAAAACAGGAGTAGAGTTAGAAGCAGGACTGGGTTTTTGTAAGCTGACTGAGGCTGGGTGCAACAAGTCTGTCCATGTCTGCAGTATGGGTTGAACAAAGCTGAGCTTACACAAAGCCTGTCTGGTCAATGACTGCACTGCGTTTATACAATCTCTTAGTGTCTGTGGTGAACATGTGGAATAACGCTCCAGAAAGTAACCCACATCATCCTCTAATAACCACACCAGGGACTCTACCTGGTCTGCACTAAATGGTGGCAAAAATTCATCCCTGCATTCGGGGGTACCAGATGAAACCAACTCTGCACAAACCTCAATCAAAGGCTGCACCTCAGAGAACTCTGTGCCCTGATCTACTAGAACATGAGCGAGCCGTATACATTCTAGCAGTTCATCCCGGGTATACTCCTTCAGAGTTTGATAAGCATACTCCCTGTCATCAAACACTAGCAGATATAAATACGCAACCTCATCCAGATCCATCCTTCCCATCAACAAGCCAAGATGGCTTCCCTGTGCAGCCACTTCTGGTCAGGATTGGCCTTGGTGTAATGTCAGGGCTCCCAGGTATGACCAGAGGTGTGTGACTGAAGCAGGGAAACGCAGACTTCAGATATGTGATTAACAATGTAATTTATTAACACTAACAATACAAACATAAACGCAGTGCAATACTAAACATAATACAGTGCAAACAAACCCAACCAACCACCCACAGATAACAGTACATACAAGCAAGCGTCGTCAGGCAGGCCGAGTCAATATCAATTGGGCAGGTAGGTACAGGGGGAGCAAGCGGAGAATGGTCGGGGTCACAGGCCAGGTTCAGCAGGTAGCAAGCAGCGTAGTACAGAGGGTCAGGCAGAGGGATGGTCAGGGTCACAAGCCAGGGATCAGAACAGGTAGCAAGCAGCGTAGTACAGAGGGTCAGGCAGAGGGATGGTCAGGGTCACAAGCCAGGGATCAGAACAGGTAGCAAAGGAACAGAAACAGGACAGATACAGGGCCCAGGACAAACACAACACCAAGGCAGAGTCTGCAAGTCTGGCCATCCCTTAAATACACCAGTATCATCAGTTCCAGGTGTTAGCTGGCTGAAAGGTTGAGTCTCTGATTGCTGGGAGCACCCGCTGGCCAGCCCTGGTACTGCAGATCAAAAGGCAGGTGAGTCCCACCATTGCTGGCCAGTCCATTCCTGACAGCCGCGATCCCTGACACGTAGTATTGCAACATGATTTTGTTGACATCTTGTGGAAGGGATTTTATGGTGCTTGAGCGATCATGGAGTGAGGTGATATGTGTTTGGTGGTGGGAACCTTTATGTAGTCTCGGTAATAATTTCCCTGACTTACTGCCAAATTTGTGCAGTAATGCGTCCACCTGGGAACATTTAATGTGTTCCAACCTTTCTGCCCATGAATCAAAACATCTTTTTGCCTTCAAGGTATACTTATCGATAAGGCAAATTTTCTGCCCTATAATAAACAGGTGGGAGGATCAAGAGAAGTCATAAGTCAGCATATTTTGGATTGGTAGTTGGGAGCAGAGAACCTAGGGCATTTTGGTGGATCTTTCCTGGGGCTCCTTTGATCCATAGGTTGAGGAGTGGTGGGTTCAAGCATGGGAAAATTGGTCTGAGCCTCTGGGTTTATGGATCTTATAAATGCTTCAGCCTCAGATGGGTCATGAACGGTGAGCTGTTCACCGCTGGGTGAATAGAGGTGAAGTGCTGCTGGAATGGCTAGAGTTAATTTGATGTGTTGCCAGAAAAGTTCAGAACAGATGTGTTGGAATGCCTTGCATTCACACATGGTGAGGTGAGACCAAAAGCCTTGGGGATGTGTGAGGCACAGAGGTTCATGAAAGAGTAAGTTTGGTAGGATTTCGGAACCCCCACAACTCTTAGGTTATTGCGTCGTGATCTGTTCTCTAGGTCCTCTAATTTCTGGAGAACATACTGATTGGTATTATCCTGGTGTTGTTCAGTAGCCTATGCCTGGTAAGGCTCATTCTCTATGTTAGATATCCTCATCTCTGCTTCATTGAGGTGTGCAGAGCAGGGGCGGACTGACCATTCGAGCACTCGGGCACTGCCCGAGGGCCCGTGGTCAGTAGGGGACCCCAAGAGATGCCCCTGTACCTTTCATTGGCTTTTTCATAGGCTTTTTTGGGTGTTGGCGAGGACACAGGGGCCCATGATCCCCTATTGCCCTGGGGCCCCATGAGTTGTCAGTCCGCCCCTGGTGTAAAGTGATCCCCCAGATCCTTTCTGATTTGATCCATCCCAACCTGAACGGGTTTCTCCATTGCTGAAGCTATACTGCTGGAGAGGAGGGCACCAACTGCCTGGGCTATATGCTCATTTTTTCTTTATGAAGGACCTGCAGGCTGAGTAGAAGTCTGGGTAGAACCAGAACTAATGTCCATGTCAGCTGCACTCGCTATGTTGTGGTGTGGAGATGGGCCAGGAGGCTTGTTCTGGTGGTGGGGAGAAAGTGAACGATGGCTGCCTTTTTCAAGGAACCACTCCATAGGTCATGTGTGACAGGTGAGGAGAGACCAGACTGATGGAATGCCATTAGCAGGCTTTACAAGCAGTTTTGTGAGCAGTTGAGCAGGAGCCGAGAGAGAGGGCAGCTGAGCCATGTGGCGTCAGAACCGGAAGTCAGTGTACTTCTTTTTAACCACTAGATGTCATTCATCTTCCAGGTTAAATGAAGGAAAGCACAATTACTCCCTGTGAGCCCAGGCTGTCATTAAGCTTCCCCAGCCTTTGACTAGACAGTGTAAGAGACACGTTAATGTGCTCATTTATTTTCCCTCCGATCAGCAATTGTTAGCACATTAATAAATTAGCTTCTTCTTCTTCTCCCACTATGAGCTTTGCTGTACAGGGACTACTGAAAGCTTAGCCATGTCAAATTTAGGTATTTACACTGCTTGCATTAAAACACATTTAATGATGTATTAATGAATACAGAACAATTTTAATTTGTGTCTTCTATAGAGTTCTGCTTTAACTGACTAGCTAGTCTTTTTCCTTTTTGACTGGACGTGCTTAAATATATGCCAGTTTTTTTTAGTGTATGGTGGATTTGTATTCTCTTAACCAAAATTTTGATCTTTTTCTTGACAACAAACAACTTGATTTATTATTATTTCATTAATTTAAAAAGTAAATTATGTTTTTTCCCCTTACATATTACATAGTTTGCTCTAGAGATTGATATCTAATGTAGTACTGGATGATAACTGAGCAGATTATTCTCACAGTTCAGTTAATGAACAATTAATTTTCCTGCCAAGTGTTCTATCTTTCAATCATGAGCTAGTGACATTTGGGCAGCTGTCTAAGCTAGTAACATATGTTAATGCCTGGTATACTTTACAGTTACAGTTTGACTGTAGTGATATCTACTGGTGACAACAGTAAATGCCAAAGGAACTCAAGGGCTTAAACGGAAAGCTTACCATGTAAAATAGTCCACAAGTAAAAATACATAATCATGTCTGAAGATAGATCCTTCCACAATTTAGCTCAAGAAAGTGAAACACACCTTTTGAAACTTTTTGGTACATTCTGCAATTGCAAGCACTCCTTATGGTACAGTTTCAATAAGGCTGGCATATGCTAATTTGCATTTTTCCAGACTCTGGTCTTTACATCTACTGATCTGTACACACACTAAATGAAAGAATATGTCAGCATGCAAAAGCAGCTCAAACTGGCACACTGATAGAGATATGCAAATAACTCTTGGTGGTGAACAATATCTAATGAAATTATCTAAATTTATCCTAGTAACAGAATTTGGGGTGGACATCTTTGGTGTGCTAGATAAGTAGTGTTTACATAAAATTATTCTAAACAGATTGCTTTAAGGAGATTACAGTTCATTCTGTATGCTGTACATCATATGTTGTATGTGCATCTTCAAGGTGACACAGTAATAGACTTTCTTTCAAATAAATAATATTGGATGGCATTGTATATATTTGCTGCAAATAATTGATGGTGGGATCACTGAAAATATTAACTATTAAACTGACAAAGGGCAAACAGCATATCAATAACTCACTGAAACATAATACTAAGAAAATTAATTTACTGAAAGCTGACAGCACACAATCTTTTTTGCGATCTTCTTTTATATTCAGGTTGATGTTTGCAAATTTAACTAAAGTTCTGAATCTGAACCCTAATGAAATCAATAGGAGCCAAGTGTTAAAATAACAGTAATGGTCATTTTCTGGGCTTAAATGCAAAGGAATTTGGGGGATGCCAAGTTATTGTTTCTTGTTTTATGCAAGTGGTTTTACATAATAGCCACACCATATAGAATTTGGTGGGCCCCACCTAATTTTTTTCATATCTGGCTGAAGATCCAGGTATGTATTTTGGGTCTTTTTTACACTATCCCCACAACTTTGTTTACATTGACCTAACAGCTGGGAATCCCACACTGACAGCTGAATGAGTTGGGCAGGGATGAGTCACTGGGTTGTTGGAATGCCAACAACTTTTTACATAATATCCATACCAGATGGAATTTTGTAGGCCCCACTCCATTTTTTTCATGGAGTCCCATTTAAAATCCATAACAGGCCTGAAGAGCCAGGTATGAATGTTGAGTCTTTTTTACACTATCCCCTATGCTTTGTTTACATTGGCCTGTAAGCTGGGAATGCCATGCTGACAGCTGAAGGGTTGTTGGAATGCCAGAAGCTGCTGGCTCCCTAAAAACCAGGAGTCCTGAGTAGGAGGTTGTCATATATAACAGTGATAGTAACATTGCTGTTAAATGTTTTGCTTCCCACTGCAGTTGAAGGTTTGGCTCAGAAAAATACCCATTAAGTTCAGTTGCTTGTCGAACCTCCTTAACCACTTTACAACCGTGTTATAGCCAAAATACAGCTACAGCGTGGTTGTACAGTTCTGTGATGGTGTCATATGATGTCTTTCCAGAATGCGTCCCCTGCGCACCCCCACTGGCATGCAACCGCCTCTGTCAGTAATCGCTGTGTCCAGCGGACACAGCTGATCACATGACTAGGTAAAAGACCAATCACAACAGCCTTTTACTATGTGATCAGCTGTGTCCAATGACATAGCAGATCACAAAGTAAATATAGTTTCCAGATATCGGCAGCACTTTCCTCACACTGTCACAGCGTGAGGAAAGTATTGCTGATAACTGGCAAATGTCACAGAGCAGATCTGCACTGATAATTAGGGCTCTGGTGATCAGTGCCCTGATCATCAGTGCCACCCATAAGTGCCCATCAGTGCCACCCAAAAGTGCCCCTCAGTGACACCCACCATTGCCCAGCAGTGCCACTCATCAGTGCCTAGCAGTGCCACCCATCAGTGCTGCCCAGCAGTGCTGCCAAGAAATTGTGTCCATCAGTGCCCAGCAGTGCCGCCCATCAGTGCCCAACAGTACCACCCATCAGTGCCCAGCAGTGCCACCCAAAAATGCCCATTAGTGCCACCCACCAGTAGTACCCAGCATTGCCACCTATCAGTGCCACCCATCAGTGCTGCCCAGCAGTGCCACCTAGCAATTGCGCCCATTATTACTGCATATCAGTGCAGCATCATCAGTGCTTCCTCATCAATGCCCACCAGTGCTCCTAATCAGTGCCACCTCATCAGTGCAGCCTATCAGTTCCACATCATAATTGCCCATCAGTGCTGCCTATCAGTGCCCATCAGTTCTGCCTATCAGTGCAGCCTCATGGATGCACATTAGTGAAGAAGAAAAATTACCTGTTTGCAAAGTTTTATAATAGAAAAAAAAAACTTTTTTTTCTCTTTTTTTGTTTATAGTTCAAAAAATAAACATCCCAGTGGCGATTAAATACCACCAAAAGAAAGCTCTATTTGTGTGGAAAAAATGATAACAATTTCATATGGGTACAGTGTTGCACGACCTTGCAATTTGCATTCAAAGTGCAAAAGCATTGAATGCTGGAAATTGGCCTGGGCAGGAAGGGGATAAAAGTGTCTAGTAGGCCAGTGGTTAACCTCTTGCCGTCCGCCTGCTGTTTATAAACGGCAGGGCGGTGGCAGTCCAAGGTCGGGTTGCCGTTCCTAAACGGCACCCGCCTTTTCTAGCTGTGCGCGCTCCCTAGGAGCGCGCACCACCGCGATCCGGTGTCCGCTGTGTCCTCCGGACACAGTGAAACACGGATCGTCGGACGGGACCTCTGTACGAGGTCCCGGTCATGTGATCACTGATTGGCGAATCAGTGATCACATGCAAAGTAGTGAGCAAGATGTCACTTGTGACATCATTGCTTACTACGTGTGAAATCTGTGAATGATCACAGAGGTCACATGGTACAAGGCTATTCACAACAGCCTTGTACCATGTGACAAGCTGTGACCAATCACAGCTCACTCAGTATTTCTCAATGACTGCAAGAATGCAGACAGAGAGAAAGAGAAATGATTGCTTTTGCATCCTATATGGGTGTAAAAGCAATCAGTGTAAAAAAAAAAAAAAATCTTCATCACCCCCCACAAGTAGTACAGTGTCACCATGGTGACACTGTACTGCTAGGGTGACAGTATGTAAAAATAAAAAATAAAAAATAAAAAATAATATTAAAAAAAATAAAATAAAAATGTAAAAAAAAATGTTTAAAAATTATAATGTTTGGTTATAAACTAATTTGGATTTTTTTTTTTACTAAAAAAATAACGGAATAAATTTTGGCCAAGATTTAGGATGAAATATTATTTATTTGCAAAATTTTATAAAAAAAAAACACTTTTTTTTCAAAATTTTTGGACTTTTTCATTTACATAGTAAAAAAAATAAAAATCCCAGCGGTGAATAAATACCACCAAAATAAAGCTTTATCTGTCTCAAAAAAATGGTAAAAAATTCATATGGGTACAGTATTGCATGACCGCGCAATTGTCGTTCAAAGTGTGATAGCGCTGAAAGCTGAAAATTGCCCTGGACAGGAAGGGGGTAAAAGTGTCCGGACAGGAAGTGGTTAACAGTTGAAATTCGGTCTGAATCAGGGTGCTAACTGAAATGGCAGCTAATTCCTAATCCTCATGTTATATACTGTAGTTTTGGTAAATCTAAAATACATTGTACAAAGAATGTAATTTTAGATTATATAGTGTAGGGACAACTTTAAAGAGGAACTTCAGTTGCTCCTCTAAGTTTTTGTTTTCTTTTTTTGCTTTAGATCCACTTACCTGTTATGCAACATTGTCCTAGATTGAGATATTCACCTACCCAGTGAATATCACTGATCAGGTACAGCAGCAGGGTCCAAGTTGCAGCTGATGACTGCAGCCCCACCCACTGGCCAGTGTAAATCCCTACTCCTCCAGAAAAGTGACAGGGAGTCCCAAGAGGCTGAGACCCCCCCTCAAAAAAAAACCCTACTAGATTATATTGTGGATGATAGCAACCCTGCACAGAGCCTTAGATGATCTGGGGGGCTTTAAAGAGTTGTATAATAATTTTAAAGTTCAATTGTTAACTAAAATGTTTTCTGAACTTGACATTAGGAATGCTGGAATGGGTTATGGGGATGATAAATCACAAAAAATGGTATTATACAAATATGCTGTTTGTGTTATTTTAGTCTAGCATTGTGTTGGGAGAGCAATAATAGAATGGTATACTCTTAAAGTGGACCTTCAACCTCAATCACATACTGAACTGCCCTGCCTCCTCCCCCTCCCTCTTCTACCAATGGACTTTTTTAATATACTTTATTTGTACTGCAAAGCAGCACTTTCAGTTTTATCACCTAGGTGATAAAGCTAGGGGTTTCCTGCGCATGTTTAAAGACTGACAACAGGGTAGTCCAAAACCTTCCCTGTTTTTTGCAAGTGTGGAAACCCCCTGCACATGCGAAGATGTGATGACAGGCTTTTCCAGGCCCCATGGGTGCATCTGTACATGTACAAATATAGTGGCGCTGGAGGGGAGTGGAGCCTGGCCAAAAGTGTTACTGAAGATCCACTTCAATGCTAGTTGTAGACAGTGTAGCTAGCAAAGAACATTGTCTAAAATATATAACTTTCAAATAAATACTATTGTGTGGCCATGTAAACAACTATTTGGTAGATGCAGCTGCAGATTTTCAGTTAATATGAAGTTACTAAACCATCAGGGGTAATTACCGCAAGCTACACTCCTAATGTAGCAGTTATTGTAAACTTATCTTGCAATACTATAAACCTGGCATTGCAATGCTTTATCTTTGGTTACCCTTTGGGCAATAAATATCTACCCTTCTACCAATGGCCTTGTTCAAATGAAGCTAGATTTACACCATTCCTGCAAAGTCACCCTTAAATTATCCGCGTCACCTAGATTCTGCAAGTTCTCACATCACACCTAATCAGCAGAGCTGGTCTCCTACATTTTCCTTGCTTGATGTGGCAAAAAAAAAAATCACATACAACACCTCCCTCCTCCACTGACTGGTGTACTGAGAACAGGACAGTGAATAGCAGCTTCTCCCCTGAAGAAGTATTTAAAGTATGGAGTAAGCTGAGGACATTACTGCTCTGTATATTCATCCTATGTAGTGTGTACACAACTTTGAAGAAAGCCTAGTGGTTTCCAACATCCCCAGAGAGAACAGAATGGCTTAATGGAGGAAGAAGAGCACAGGACTGGTGTTCTTGTTTAGTCTAAGAGGGAGCCACTGTCACTACCATAGCCTAGCATTGCTTCCTCCCCTGTCAGAGATTTTTGTTGACTCAGAAAGAGGCCACCCCACCCTTTCCAGTTAAGAACTGGAGAACAGATCCATTAATAGGCTGGGCAGGTGCCAGCCTAGACACAAGGTACTCGATGTATAGAGAGTGAGTGAGAGCTGGGAGGTCAAGGCAAAGTGGGAGAGCAAGGGGAAGAAAGTGTGAAGAGAGGAAATGGAGAAAATCAAAACCCCAAGTATGCTCATAGATATAGCATGTAAGCAAGTCAAATGATGCACAATACTCAGTGGCACATTCAGCTAAACTAACAAAGGTAATCAGAAGGCAGCATGTGGACCTCAAGCTGCTTTTAAACAACTTCCAGTCAATTAAGTCAGCCAGTAACAAATACGAAAAGGAGGAATATGACTGGAACCTTTCTGAAAATGTATTTGAGGACAACTTTGACACTATTAAGTGTCTATTCTGTGATGTAGAGGACATGGCAAGTTCTCTACTTTCAGAGATGCTGGATATTGCAAGAATTGTCTGCATGGGGAAAGTTTTGTTGGAGTCAATCAAAGTTGACTCGGAGACTCAATTTAGTTCAGCTCAAGATGATATTAGCCCGCTTGATTAAATATTTAACATGTGGAATGACAAAGCAGTGTGTGAGGAGCTTCAGATGGTGATTGCTCTCAAAACTTTTGTTTCTGCATCCTACAATTTTACAAGAACATGACATAGAGACATAATACACAGTTTGTATTATGGTGAACACACAACAATCTATATTAGAGAGTAACCTCTCAACTGTCTTTTTATAATATAGAAACTATATTAAACAAAAACACTCCTCTCATCAGCTGATTGAGAACTTCTCTATTTTCTTCTAAATATAAGAATTCTGACCTTTGAAGATTCTCAAAATAGCGATAGAGAGGCCTCATCTTACAGAAATACAAATTGGTTACGCAATCAACTCTTACTGCAAAAGTCCGAGTCAATGGCCACCTGTCGCATGTCTTCCCCATCTCAAATGGAAGCACACAGGGTTTCCCCGTCTCACCATTTCCCTTTGTGCTAACCCTTAAACCGCTTATCTGCCATCTTCAAGCCATTGTAGAAATTTAAGGCCTATCAGTTTCTGGTCTGACTTTTAAGCTCCCTGCATTTGCAGATATTCTTCTCTTCTTGATGTAGAGTAATCCCATGTCACAATTCTGAACCTACTCAGGGACTTCTCCCTCATCAAAACCATTCTCTAGAAGCAATAGCTTACTGTCAATTACTTCTCTAGAAGCTAGTAGGCTGGAACATTCACTCCAGGATGAAATATTGGGTTAAACTAGAAAATGCCTTTGACAATACACCCTTAGATTTAATGCCTTGGCTATCTCCACAAAACATCCCTCCTGCCTATATGGATCACCGGCTCATTGGTCCTGTTATCCATTGCTTCCACATAAAAATGTCAGGAAAGGCGTGCCCATAGGTCAAGTGATATCTCTCAGTGCATACATACGCACATGCACAGAACAGCAACTGGGCAGGCAGATGTGCATAAATATGTGCATAGGCACGCGAGCATGTGCACTCGTGCATGCAAGTGTACACTTGTCACCAGGGCTGGCGCCAAATGGGTTATTTAAACAGATCCACTGCACTGGCAAATTGCTGTTTAGTCTACAGCTTCCATGTGTACATATCCTGATTCCTGTGTTTGACCTCTGATGTTGACCTGGCTTGCTTCTGACTCCACTTGTCTGCCACCTGCCCT